CTGCTTAGGGGGAAAATGGTGAAGTGGCAGCTAGGGTTAGTTTAGATTCTAGGTTCAAGATCAAGGACATCCCGGCCCAAAGCCCATCTTGTATTTAAAAGTCCTGGGCCTCAACCATTTTATGCAATACCAGCCCATTCCCCTTAGCATCTTCCAATTTCAGCCCATTCCTTTCATATTTGTCGACAGACAAATTAGGGCACAGAATCCTTACCGTCCCTCTTTTCTTCTCCGACCATCTGAAACATAGACAGCAGCGCCACCCTTATTGTATCTCTGAGCACCCAAACATTCGCCGGCGATGCCTTCCATCAGTCCCCTGTCTCTTTTTTCTTTCATTTTCGTTTGGATTTCCTACTTTTCTCCATACTTTAGATGCCAACAATCGTCGGCCATCCTTCAAGTCTCGTGGGATTTTAAGTCGTTCTTCTTGCAATCGTGCTGGACCCTTCTTTTTTCGCCGCTTCTTCATCGGAGAACCACCGTGCAAATCCGATCCAACCATTCTCAGACTCTTGCCGTTTCTTTTTGGATATTCAATTTCTTCTTCATCCCCCTTTTCGATCTTCTGTGGTCAGTGTTTCCTTCTTCCTCTCTTCCTTAGCATCTTCATATTCGGTTGAGGGCAATTTTTCTCCTCTCTTCTCAATGAACCGCTGCGCAACAACACTTTCCCTCTGCGGTTGAATTTCCATCGCACCCCAGTCCACATTCTCGAGTCTGATCGCCGGCTTCCAACAATCCTTCGCCCCCGCTTCCGAATGCTCTTCTCGGCTACTTCTTCCCTCCTTAACGTCCTTTTTTCCTCTCTAACCGCAATGTTCTCTACAAGCCTATTCTGCAGTCTGATGCATATTAGAACCATTTCCTTCGAATTTTCTATCATTTTTTCACACCTTCCCATCATTTCTTCACACATTCTCTGTAACTTCATTGTCTCGACTGATAGATCCATCGTCAGGATGAACTTGCTCTGATACCAATTTGTTAGGTATCCGAATACAAGAATCTAACAAGAACACTATATTGCAATACCAAAGAGTAATTACAAGAACCAATAGCCTTTCGAGAGGGCTGATCTCTCCCGAAGAACTCTCTCAAGTTCCCTACCATAATACTATTATCCAAGATCTTCTACTTCTCCCCTACTACCCATATTTATAACCAACTTACCCCTGACTAATTACCCTATTACCCCTAACCCATATACTAGTATCATTCCTTAACTAACCCTAATAGGACTCTCACACCTTCTCCCCCCCTCAAACAGAGCCAATCTCAAATCACTCCTCATCACACTGTCTCCTCCTTCCTAAACCAATCTGACTCAAATCTCTCTGACTCCGCCCTCTCTCTCTGACTCTGACCTCACCCTCTAATCGTGGGTTATCGCCCACATGTGTTCACCATTGTCGTTGTGCGGACTAGAATGAAGCTCCGAACGACGTGGACATCGTGGGCTGCCAGGCAAGCCCATGAGAGGAGAGGGCCGGGTGGGTGCATTCTTAAACACTCCATCGTAGTTGAAGAAATGGGAGACTTGGAATGTCGGAATCAGAAATAGTCTTGGATTTTCCCACCACGGCATCAATTTTTTCGTGGGCTTTAGTTTGAATTTTTGAATTGAATGGTCACGTGTTCGTATCTTGAAAAATCATTTCCAAAAGATGCGCTATCTTGTCAAAATCTTAGAGCTTTTCATTTTCTCCCAAATCAAGACATCAACAAAATCTCTATTCTGTGCATTTTCCTTGAGTATTCTAACTTTTCTTGTCATTCAGTTCTTTTTCACTTTTCCAAATCTTTAGTATTTGGTTAGGTAATCCTAAGCGATTTTGAAAATTCTAAGAATACTAATAAATACTCAAAGCACTTTTCCAAAATTTTCAACGTTTCTTTCGATAGTGCTTTCAAATGTACTTCTACTTGAAAACATTTTTATTGAAAGCCGTTCAAAATCACCTTAAAAAGAATTTTAAGGTGATTCGAGAGGAATCAATTAAATAAAGTACCTCACTTAAAAGAACGGTATAAACATCACTCTCAAAAGTCACCTAAATTCATGCAAAGAATGTTATGATATTTTGTTGGTTATCTTCAACTGGGCAAGAGTTGATACAAGAATATTTGTTGCATTAATATGCTCGAGTCTGAAGTTGGTCTACATTTTAAGCAGTCACCGTCAAACTGAAAACTTGTAAGCAGATAGCGTTTTCTAGATTTTTATTGTTGGGGATAGAACTATTTTCATATAGCTAAAAAACCAATGGTCAATTTCGAAGGAAGAAATGAAAAAATTGTGTCTGATTTGCAAATTTATGGAGGCACAACTAGATGTTCCGAATTTCTTATGGTGAATTTGGTGACTGCTTTAAAATAACTACTTTTAGCAAAAAGCGTTTTAATTATAAGCCATGCTTAAAAACAAATCAATTTGATGTTTGATCCGGTGGTGCTTTTGCCCATAGTAGAAATGGTTAGATGTAGAAATATTGTTTAGTGCCATGGTTTCCCTTTTTAATGTATGTATTAACATATATTTTGTAACAACTCGCGTGTAGGAGTTAGAAAAATTGAAGCCTGTGATTTTGTCTGGTGATCTGAATTGTGCTCATCAAGAGATAGACATCTATAATCCTGCGGTTAGCTATCAAATTTAGACTTGTGACTTTCTCCCCTTATTATGTCTGAACCTTAAAAAATGTTCCTACAAACTCATTGAAGCATGTTGTGCTTTGTAAAAGGAGCTTTTTGTTGAAATTTTTTGATTCACTGGACACGTGCTTGGTTCGCTAGGGAAATCGGAGAAGTGCTGGGTTCACAGATGAAGAAAGGAAATCGTTTGAGACAAACTTTTTGGAAAAGGGGTTTGTAGATACATTCAGACAGCAACACCCTAATGTTGTTGGCTATACATATTGGGGTTATCGTCACGGTGGACGCAAAACCAACAGAGGTAATCGAGTCTGCTTCAGTTTTTGTTTCTCATCCATGTGTTTTTCCTTTGCATTTTCCTTTGCATTTGCTCTGATAAAATTCAGCAGTCCATTCGGGGTAACTTTTGAGGTTGTAATTTTTGTGACAATTGTAAAAAGAAAGTTTTTGTTAAACAGGATGGCGGCTTGACTATTTTCTTGTGTCGGATTCGATAGCGGAGAAAGTGCACGACTCTTACATACTCCCTGATGTGGGAGGCAGTGATCATTGTCCCATCGGCCTTGTGCTCAAGCTGTAGCCTGTAGACTCAAAATCCTCCTCACCCAATTTCCCTCTATGTTGCTGTCTAATCTCCTTTTCATTTTAATTTTGTACACTTTTTTCATATATACCCAACTCTTGACCTCCACTTTTGTGAACTCAAATACAGAACAGCACTTGGACTTTGTGTTCTTGTGTCATTATGATTCATATCCAAACTTCTTTCTTCAAACAAGACTTTAATCAACCCTCTTAGTGCTTAATTGATTCAAAATTGTTCAATTGGTTAAAATGTAATTCTGATCCTTTCAATTTACTACCAGTTTTAATTTAATCTTTATTAGAGTTTAAAATATTGTATTTTAGTCCAAATTTTAATAACATGGAACAACTTGTATTTTAAATTAAGGTAGATGAGTTAAAGTGAACATAACTTACATATATTTCAAATCAAGAGGTTGTGAGTTCAAATTCCCTCTCCAACATGTGTAAAAGAAAAAAAAAAGGCAAATGAGGGAAAAAAAAATACAAAAATGGTCTAAATCAAAGTCACTAAAAAAAAAGAAAAAAGAAAAAAAAAATCTAGAGGAGAATTTCCCAACGGCGACGAGGCCTTGCAGGGACTTGTCCGTAATTGGGCGAGGAGAAATAATTATTACATGCAAGTATATTTGTTCCTAATTATAATTAGGACAAAAGTTTCTTTTTATTACTGTAATTATATCTTACGGATCATTTAAAATAGTTTGTTCACAATCAAAAATATAAATTGTCTCTCTCTAACCCGTGAGAGGGTGAAGTTTAATTAATAAAGTCTCCAAATTAATACTTAATAAGAGGACTACTTATCTACTTTTCTTAGTGGAAAAGAATGAATTTCATTGGTTGAGATTATGTTCTTAGTCCCCAATTTGATAATATTCCCAAAATAGTACTTATTACAGACCATTCTCATCCATGTAAATTAAAGAACACGACCTCATGAAGAGTAATTCATAATTTGTTGAAGATCGAGATCAAGTTGCATATGTGAAATACTTTTCTTTTCTAATTTACCTAGATAGATTAAATATTTTGCAATCTAGTCTCATGTAAACTCATTACGTATGATACTCAAACTCGCATGTCACCACGTGAATGATTTGTATAAAATCAATTGTAATTTTTATAAAGCGAGGTCGCATAAGTAGTATTACTAGAATGAGACACCTGACTTTATTCATATACTGTGGAATATTTGTTGGATCGGTATGGAATTCCTAAATGGGTAAATAGAATTTAATTATACTTTTTATCAGGGGGGTCCAATTTGTTAAATTGATACACTTTTTACAAACAATTAATTATATCACAAATTAAGTGTAACAATTGAAAAAAATATTTAAATATTTTGATGTGTTGTTTTATTTTCTTAAAGAGAAATCTTTTTATTTTAAAAGTTATTTTTATTTTAATAAAAATACAAGATAATTTTATTAATTTTTTTAAGGGAAGAGATTTGTTAAACGATAAATCTTTATCTTTATTTTTTTGGGTTACCTTTTCTTAAAAGGATTTTAAAAAGGTTTGCTTTAAAATCCGTTAAACCCTAGTTTTAGAACAATAATTTTATTAGATGACTAGACCTAATTCTCTCTCATACGAACGAAAAAAAACCAAAACAAGAATGAAGACTTTTGATACTTTTCCTAAAAAAAAAGTAAGTATTTTTTTTTAATTATTATTGTTATTGTTTTCTTTTTCTTGATCTATAATTCTTTAATTAAGTTGTTGAAAAAAATTTTGAGGTCTTTGTTTTTCTTATTTTTCAATTAGAAGAAAAGATTTTGAACACTTTTTGCCTAAAAATTTTCCTAAATTTTTTAGTTTGAATTTTTTTGTTTATGAAATTGTTTTTGAGCTATTTTACACTATTTTACCTAAAAAGTTTACTCATTTGTACTCCCTTAAATTATAGCTTATTATTATGATTTTTACATGAAAAATGGTATGTTTCTACCAAGTTTTAAAGGTTTTTTTTATATACTTTCCGATATGATTTTTCTATTAAAAAAAATTCAGTAAATTGTTAATTATTTTGTGGAAATTCATGGAGTTTTATTTTATAAAATGGAAATTTTTTCTGATTTAAAACACCCAAATTTTCAATTGTTTAGAAGTTTTTAAGCTTGTTTTGTTGGAAAACTTTCTAAATTTAGTCCATATTGATTTATATCGATTCTTGTAATATTAAAGTTTGTTATTTTTGAATTTTGATGCCTTTTATCCCAATTTTCAGATCTTGGGTTGTAGCCCTAATTTCATAATTTCTGGATTGTTTTACATGAAAAAGTGTTTTGAATGGGAAAATTGGGTAGATAAGTTTTGCTAGTAATTGATTGAATTTTAAATCCTTACGTAGGATTTTAAAATTGAATTTGGATATGGGTTATATTTTAGGCTTCTAAAAAGATTGATGGAAGGAAGTTACTTAGATTGATGAGATCTTCAATAGAGGTAAGTGAATTGTCATATCCCTTCGAAAGTGTTGTAAGTGATTTGTCATATCCATTCCAAAAGTGTTGTAAGTAATTTGTCATTTCCCTTCCAAAACTAAAAATTTATTTTGGATTTGATATGAAGATTCGAAATTGATATCATGCTTATGAAATTGAAATTTTATTATAGATTCGTTAAATATCTTGGAAATTGATATTTTTTTTATTAGCAAAATATTTGAAATTATGTTTGGTATGATTTGATAAAGTTTTGTTTGAAAGTATTTAAATGCTTGAAATTGATATTTTGTTTATTTGTGAAATATTTGAAATTATTGTATGATTCGATAAAGTTTGTTTGAAATTATTTAAAAGTTTGTTTGTCCCCCCTCAGCTTACCCTAGTCTTGGGCCCTATATGTAAAACCTTGCCGCGGGAGAGTCTTTCTCCAATGAGAAGAGCTAACCTGGAATGAGATGCATTTGAATAAAAGAACGAACTCAACCGAAGAACTACCGACATCGAGGAGCCAAACCCTCTCATCGATGCGAGCTTTTGGGGAAGAGGAGTAAAGATCATTTTCCTTTCAGGGTAAAGTGGCGTGCGGATGAGCACATTGAACTAACTATCCATGTGGCTGAGAGCAGGGGTGTTCACGGTTCGATTTTAAAGCCAAACTGAAATCGAAACCGAAACCGAATATAGAAAAGAAGAAAATTTCAAACCGCACCAAATTGCATGCATCGTATAAACCGCATTGAAAATTCGGTTTAGTCGGTTTTTGGGCTAGAAAAGTGGTGTATATTTCAAGTGCAACTCTTTTCTTGTTCTCACCGAAGTCTGACTCATGCATCAAAGGTCAGAGTTGGTGGCTGGCAACGACGAAGTTGGTAGATGATAGAGACGAGGTCGGAGTTGATGGTCGGCAGTGGCAGAGTTGACAAATGACAACAGTGAGGTTGGAGCGGTGTTTGGTAGCAACCGTGGTGGTCGCAACACAACAATGAAGGTAAGGGAGAAGTTAAAAGGAAGAAAGAAAAGACAGGGAAATAGGAGAAGGAAGAAACAAAAGGGGGAAGGAAATGGAAGAAAAGAAGAATGGAAAAGGTTGGAGAAAGTGAATAAAAAAAATTTTGAAAAAAAAAATTTAATGGAAAGCTGCCAGCCAGCAACCATTAAATCAAAGGCTGCATGCAAGCTGGCAGCTATTTTCAGAGACTCGAGGTGGCATTGGCACTTGTATCATGCTTTTAGACATTGTATAATATAAATAATAATAATAATATCTATATATAAAAATAAAAGTAAAACTTAATATATATATAATTATATATTCCGTTTGGTTTTAATATCGATTTTCAACTCTTGAAATCGAAATCGAACCAAAATTTCGGTTTGACTATTTTATTAAACCGAATCGAACCGTAAACTTGTAAAAACTGAATTCGGTTCGGTTTTTCGGTTTCATCGGTTTGGTTGTGCATCCCTAGTTGAGAGCCCTCATAGCATTTTTGTATGATTTCTACTATCCCTTCTTTCCAATGGGCTTCAAGTATAAAAATAATTTTTTGATTGGTCCATAACATGTGGTTTCTCCATTATTCATATATTTACGTATTTGAAAAATATAAAAACCATTTAAGTGTATGCGCAATAACCGCGGAAAAGGGGGGGGGGGAAGCTCTCCGTTCCTGGACGAAACAAACAGAGATAGAATCAGACCGATTCCCTAAATACTTTTCTGGATCCATGACCAGGATGAAATTTGGGTGAAACTAAGTGGAGGTTTGAACCAATTGATGTTGAAGAATCAACGGATGAGTTGTGGTTAGGGGTGAAATGCCACTCGAATCCCAGCTATGTTTCCTTTGGACCCTTCGCCCGCGACCAGTGGAAGCAAGCTAGCCCTTAATAAGGCTATCCGGATACGTCATTTTCATTTGAGGAATGTTTTGCTTATTTGGGGAAGTAGCCTAATTTGGAATTGATGGATCATGTTCTGGCTTATTTGTGGCCATGCACTTTTGGTGGTTTGACATTCTTTGAAATAAAGATTCATGTGTGTGTTATTTACTCACGTGACCTCACACTTAAGTAATAATTCTGACTGTTCTGGTCAATATTAATTCGACAACTCTGTTTTGGTCGATATTATATCGACAACTCTGATAGAAGCTTCTAATTGATTGATTTGTATTACCGATGGGTAAGCACATATGTTCTGTAGGCTACCCAAGTAATGCATCAATTCCACTCTGATATGAAAGTTTTGATTGAACGAACATTTGTTTTGAAGGGTTTGAAGTTTGATTGAATGAAAGTTTATTTTGATTGAATGTAAGATTGTTTTGAATCATAGAAAGTTTGTTTTCAATTCAAAAGTCTGTTTTCAACGAATGAAAGTTTGTTTTGATTGATTGAAAATTTGTCTTATTTGAAGATTTTGTTTCCGAAAGTCTAGTTTGTTTGAAAGCTTTGAAAGTTTTACTAAATGGTTTATAAGGACTTTTATTAGTTTTGGATATGTTTGTATTTTTTATCACGAATATTTTGGAAGGAAAATAAATTTCAAATATTTGATATGAAAATTGCTTACTAAGTATTTTGTACTCATTCTTTGTTTTTAAATATTTTCAGATGAACGTTCGAATGATTGCTCAGATAGTAATTGAGGAATAGCGTTCTGGCATGAGGAGTTGTAAATCTTTAGTCATTTTTTTTTATTACGAGAAC